TTTTTTTGTGGAACCAGGGATTGAACTCAGGCCCTTGCACTTGCCAGGCAAGTGCTTATTCCACTGAGCCATCTCCCTGGCCCCAGAAGTGTTGTTGAGTATCACAGGAAATTGACAATGAAGCCATCCTCCAGTCTTATTCAGATTTCACCCATTTTGCATCTTGTCATTTGTGTGCATGCATTTCTTTAGTTTTATGGCCCTTTATCATCACTGTGTTTATGAATCAACAGTCATAGCCTACAGAATAGCTTCTCCTTTACAAGGATCTTTTGTGTTGCCCATTTATAGCCACACCTGTCCTCCTCTCCCAGGCTTGCTTTCCGCATCCCTAACACTCTGACCACTAATCTATTATTATTATTATTGTATTTGGTATAGGGTCTCACTATGCAGCTTGGATTTATAGTGATCCTCCTGTTTTCAGTCTCCCCAGTGCTGGGATTACAGGTGTGTGTCACCACACCTGGTCTTGGTGGCTGGCTCAGTGTGCTGGGGGTATGGCTGGTGCGGCATGTGGTGCCGGGGGTTGAACCCCAGTTTCTGTGCTTGCCTAAGCAGGTGCTTAGTCTGCTGAACTATCTCGCTGACCCCACTAATCTATTATAAGTGCCACTTCAGGAAAGTTCTGTAAATGAGACCATACAGTATATAGCCTTTGGGATTGCTGTTTTTCATATAGTGAAATTCTCCTGAGATTGATCCAAGTTATTGAGTATATCATTAGTTTGTTCTTTTTCTTTTATATTGAGTACTATTCTGTAATATGGATTACCATAGATAGTGTCACCCTTGGAAGGACATCTGGATTTTCAGTGTTTGGTTCTTTTAAATAAAGCTGGTCTGATACTTATGTACAGGGTTTTGTATCTGTTCTCATATCCAAGATTCTTATTTTGATGTCTTAATACCTTCTTTTTTTTGCTCTTTTACTTTGTGTTTAGATATCCTTCTAGATTTGGATTCTCCTGCTCCTGTCACAACACCAGCACCAGCTCCAGTTTCTGCCAGCAATGACTTGTGGGGAGACTTCAGTACTGCATCCAGGTAGTGGACCCAGAGAAACCAGCACACTGTCATTCAGGGTATAGAAGACACGCACAATTGTGTTAAACTTTGATCTGGGACAAGGGAATTTGAAGGTCATAATACAGTTGTTTGAAATTCTTAGGAGGTAAATGTAGGAATACTGGGGATGGTGGGAGGAGAAAGTTGTAGGTTGAAGTCTGAATGGGATATTTTGTGTCTTGGTAAATAGAATTTCTGATACATAGTCTTAAGAAATTCTGGATTGTAATTTCTTAGAAACTGTTTGGTAAGGAATGGAGTAGTTACCCTAATATTGTATCTTTGGATTTCTCTCTGTTCTCCTGTTTTGCAGCTCTGTTCCAAACCAGGCACCACAACCGTCCAACTGGGTCCAGTTTTGAGTGCCATTGACAGTACATTAAGTACAGACTTGAATAAAGATGACTTTGAGGGCACCAATCTTTGAGGGAGGTTAGGAACCCTTTTTCCTCCCCAGAACCAAATGAATGGACAATCTTTTTCATAGCTTCTCCATTATATTCAAGCTGATTTATGTCACGCCCCTATGTTGTTACATGCTGTGAGGCCAAGAGAGATCTGTTATTTCCTGCTCTTTACTGTGACAGGGAATAGTGGGTCTTACCATTACCTATGGCTGACTATGGACTGTTTAGAAGGCCAGTGACTTTGCGAGGGGAATGCCTCTAACATTCGTAAAGATTGTATTCGTTTTCTGAGTTCTTGAACTTATTTCAGAATCATCTCATGACCCTGTAATACCCCTTTGTGAAGCCCTCTTCACTGATTTGAGGGAAAAGAAAAGCCTTGGAACTTTCTTTTTCCTTAACCCAAAACTCTAAAAATGGATGGGCTGACCTCAGTATTTACCAATTTGAGAGTTTTGAAGGCTGGACTACATAGTCGCTTCAAGACCAGCTTGAACTACATAGTAAGACCATGTCTCAGTTAAAAAAAACAAAACACAAAACCATTGGGAGAGGCAGGTTTGAGACTGCTCTGTGTCCTGGGTCTCTTCAGCCTCCTCCAGGTTCCCCATTCAGGGAGCAGTGAACATCCAGTGCTGGTGCAGCTCCATTACTGAGACTCTGAGTGTTTACATATCTCTTCCTGAGATGAAAGGGCTGTGTCATGGCACTGCCCCTGTTCTTTGCTCTTTGTTGGGTAGTGCAACATCTTTGAGCAGTGGGTATTTCTAGGATGGAGGAGGCTCAATGGGCTGTGATTTCCAAATTATACAAGTGTTGACTTTCTTGCAGCTCCATCTGGTTGCTGCATTGGAAGCACAGCATTCCTTTGTAGTCACCTTTTATTTGACTTAAAATGGAAGCGTTTAGAGTTTTTAACCTGATTAGTAGAGCAGAGAGGTTGAAAGCACTTAACTCTCATTCAGTGCCCAAATTGCCTTGCTACCTGGGTATCTGACCTCTTTCCATAAACATTTCTTTTACAATCCATCTGATTTTTCAGTAGAAAGCTCCTATCACATATATTGTCTTTATGAAGGAAGTTGGGGAGTCACAGTTTTATTTCTGACAATTTTCGCTTCAGACTTTGGTACTCACTAGCAAGAGTATCTTCAAAGCAAGTTGTTGGTATACTAAATCCTTTCCTTATGCCCCATCATTCCTTTTACAGTGCTGTGAAAAAAGTTCCCTGTCTTAGGGATTATTATTAGCAACTTACCTATTTTTGTTTGTTAATGGACAATTTGAAGGATTAAATGGGAGGATATAATTTCTTCCCTTAGCACCTATTTGGGTATGTACATTCTGATTGAAGGCGGTAAGTCCTTGTATTTGGTTTCAAACTATATTGTTTCTTCTGGATTTCCTTCTTAACTTACTCTAACTTTGGGTCCATTTTTTTTCATTGCCTCCCCTTCCAGGCAGCTCTATTCTTGGAGAACTATGGCAGGACATTTTAAAATTTCACTAGAAAACACTAAAAGTCTATAGGATCACTAGTGACTACTGGGAGCCTATTTTTCTCAATCTTCCTCCATGTTGTGTTCTTTGTATTCTCAAGATGATAATATATTATGTATTTCAATTGCTGAAAAGTTGAAAATGAAGTTAAGATATATGTATATAAAGCAGATGCTGTATTGGTGCAATAATGGTAATTAAAATATAGAAAAAGGTGTTTCTTTTATCTTTTGTTTACCTTTTATGTTTAATTGGCCCAATACAAATGGGCAATAAAAGGGAAATAAAAGGATATATATCTCTTAGTTTTGAGAAATAGAACTTTTAAGAAGTTGAGACTAGAGTTCTCATGGTTTTAAATCAGCAAAGTACCCCTTAAAATAAATAATTATTAATTTGTTTTTACAGTTAATTTCATTTGAAATTGGAGGTAAGATTGAAGTCAGAATCATAGACTTTGGAAATTAGAGACAGTCTTGAAGATTTAGTGATACAGAAGATGCATCGGAATAATAATATAATCTACTTTACAAAAGCTATTTATTTATTTATTTATTTATTTATTTTTTTCATATGTCCTGAGTCTTTTTTTATTTTTTATTTATTTTTTATTTTTTATTTTTTTCAACAAATAATACACTGCATATATTCTTCTTAGTGGTTAATTGCTGTATAAGATGCGGACTTGTGATCCTATTTACAAACACCATTAGAACAAATCATTCTATTCATTAAGACAATGCAACTATATATCTACCCCAACCACTTTGAATACACAGATACAGAATGGACATTCATCGGTGTACCCCATTTTTCCTAAGTTCCGTTATTGAATATTATAGGTGTGTAAACTCAGCAAAATATTCTAAAAGAGTCCAGTAGCCCATTACAAAAGCTATTTAAACTGAAACAAAAGTTACTAGTTAGTAACATGTAAACCTATGAAAATATAAAATAACTCACTTGACCAGGACTTTTGGGAAGATGGTCGAGTAGTGAACAACAGAGTAAAGACCCTGAGATTTGCTGTCCAGATAGTGGAATATAGCAACATGAAAAAGAGGAGGTAAGTGGGTCCTTGGGACCCAGCAAGGATTTGAAGTGAGAATTGAAGGCCATGGGGAGAGTGAAAAGAGACTTTAATGAAGAAGGAAGTGGTGGGTGACACTTTCACCGTGAGCCCTGCTTCACTGTCTGGGAGGGACAACTCAAAACTATAGATTCATGGTGACTACTGGTGATCCTTGAGGCCTCAGTGGAAAAGTGCACCAGTGGAATGGGATATGGATGCAGTGCCCTGCAGTAGTTGGTGTGTTATTTGGGTTCAGATGTCCTCCTCTGAGAGGGTGACTGGTTGGTAGCCATCTTGGAGAAAAACCACTGACTTAAAATTCAGAGCAGCTGGGGGTTGTCTCCATCTAATGGCTGCCAGTATCAGGGTGAGGCAAAACTAAGTTGAAGTCAACAGGAGGACTGTTCAAGCCAAAAGGAAGCTGAGTTCAAGGTGGAAGGAGGTACACAGTGTTGCAGGCTGTACAAATTGGGTTCCAGCCTCACAACTAGGCACCAGAATGAACTTCAGTGGAGCTAAAAGTACAGGCTTCTTTGGATCATCTGCTACCCCTCTGCGAAGCTACTGCATTGCTGGCATTAATCAACTAAGATCTGCACTCTGTTTGCCCATATTGGCTACCAGTGACAGAAGAGACATGCCTTTTTTTTTTTTTTTTTTAATAATGTTAAATATTTTTTTAAAATTATTTATTTATTTGTGTGTGTGTGGGGCCAGCTCAGTCCACCAGGGGGCGGGCTGGCTGGCATGTGGTGCTGGGGGATTGAACCGTGGTCCCTGGGCTTTGTTAAGCTTGTTCTAAGTAGGTGCTTTAGACCACTGAGCCATCTCACCAGCCCAAGACATGCCTTGAAGGGACATTTTTTTCTTTTTTTGTATTTTAGGGAAGGGTCTCCAGGGTGTTCCGGTTCTCACTACTAGATTGGACTCATAGTGATCTGCCTGTTTACAGCCTCCCAAGAGCTGAGATTGCAGGTGCATGCCACCACGCCCAGTCTTCTTGTTTTTTGTTTTCATTGATCTTGTTTTTATGTAACTGCAAACACTGTTTCTAGTTACTTTGCTCTGTTCTGTTCTTGTTTTTAGTTCTTTCTTTTCTCTTCTATCTTCACCGGTTTCCCAAAATTTGGATAGTCAATCTTCATTTGTTAGTTTTAAGAGATCTTTCCTTTCACATTCGTTACCTTCACCACTGTCTTTGAGGGAAAGTCTGTCTTCTATTTCATTCAAGTGATTTTATCACCTTTCAATGGTGCTCTTAATTTCCTAGATATCTGTTTGAATCTGTTGAGATTTCAGCTGTGTAATTTCCAAGTTCTTGTGTATCTTTGTCCCCTGGATTTGTTCTGTCTTGCTTAGAAGATTGAGATTATCTTTTCTCCTGAATTTTGGCATTTTTAAAGCTCCCAGTAATTACCCATACAGAGTCTTGCAGGCTGCCCAGAGTCTGCCAAAGTTCTTAGATGGCTTCTGGAAAGCTTTGCACCTGCTTGCACTGCATCTGCAGATTGCAGCTCTACTGCATCCCACAGGCCACTTAGAACTCCTGAGTTCTTAAAAGTTTGGACTGGCACCAGTGGAAGCTCCATGCCTGCATGCTGAGGGCTAAGGAAGGTCAGAGCTTACCAGAGTCCTGAGGGTTGCCCAGAGTTCACCAAAATTCTTGACCATTTTTTAAAACCCATTTTACATGCTTATACCTGGAAATTATAATGATAATATTAAATAATAATTTAGGGCTGGCCAAATAGCTCAACAGATTAAAGCACCTGCAAGCAGGTGCAGGGGCTGGGGGTTTGATCCCCAGGCCTGCCGTGCCAGCCTGCCCCCAGGGCACATTGAAATGGCAATTGAGACTGGGCTTCGTGGCATGCGCCTGTAATCCCAGCTCTTGGGAGGCTGTAAACAGGCGGATCACTATGAGTCCGATCTAATAGACCCTGAAGACCCTGTAGACCCTTCCCTAAAATAAAATAAAAAAAAATAATAATTTGAAGACAATATGTAATGAAGCAACAACAAAGGAATACCTAGGAAACAATCTATGAAAGGAAGTAGAACACCTGTACATTGAAAACTGAAGTGCTCTGAAAAAGGAGATTGGCAGGATATCAGAAAATGGAATGAAGGGCCAGCCAAATAGCTCAGCAGGTGTGCCTGGAAGCAGGCGCAGGGGCCAGGTGTTTGATCCCTGGGCCTGCCATGCAGGCTCCACCCTCAGGGTGTGCTGAGTAGGCAAATGAGACTGTGCATGCCTGAAATCTCAGCTCTTGGGAGGCTGTAGACAGGAGGATCACTATGAGTCCAATCTAGTAATGAGACCCTGAACACCCTTTAGACCCCTAAAATACAAACAAACAAACCAAAAAAAAAAAAAAAAAAAAAAAAAAAAAAAAAAAAAAAAAAAAAAAAAAAAAAAAAAAAAGAGAATGGAACCATACCCCTTGCATTCTAGGGTAGGAAGAACCAATATAGTGAAAATTTCCATGCTTCCAGATTGTTATACAGATTTAATGGAATTTCAATCAGAATTCCAACTGCATATCTCACAGAGTGAGAGAAAACAATCCTAAAATTCATTTGGATCTAGAAGAAACCTAGAATAGCAAATATATTCTGGGCAATAAACTGAAGGCAGGGGACATCATAAACACAGACTTGAAATTATTCTACAAAGATACAGTGATAAAAACAGCACTTGCAAAATAAAACACACTCACATCCAAGGATCAGTGGAACAGATTAGAAGATGGAGAAACAACTCGACATACTTAGCCACTTTATCTTTTTTTCGGGGAAAGGTGGTACTGGAGATCAAACTCAGGACCTTGCACTTGCCAGGAAAGCTTTTATTCCACTGAGCTATCTCCCTGGCTAGCCACTTTATCTTTGCCAAAGATTCCAAACACATTCACTGGAAGAAAGAAAGCCTCCTTAATAAATGGTGCTTGGTAAGTCAGCTTTGCACATGCCAAAGATTCAAATTGAGCTAGTGTGTTTCACATGCACTTAAGTAGAAATGGATCAAAGATCTAAATATTAATGTAGAAACATTAAATCTGCTGGAAGATAGAATAGGTAGAACTATTGAAGAAATTGGTGTAGGTAAAGACTTTATGAACAAAAACCTGATTGAACACAAACTATCAGATTCAACAACTTGGATCATATTAAAAAGATTTTTTTTTTTAAAGCAAGAGAAACCACCAAAGTCAAGAGACAACCCACAATATTGGAAAAGTTTGGTAGCTGTTCCTCAGCACAAGATTAGTATCAAGAAAGTGAAAGGGGGCCAGGGAGATGGCTCAGTGGAATAAGCGCTTCCCTGGCAAGCACAAGGACCTGAGTTCAATCCGTGGTTTCAAAAAAAAAAAAAAAAAAAAAAAAAAAAAAAAGACTGAAAAAATCAGACCACCCAAATTCAAACACCCAATTCAAAAATGGTCATCTGAGATGAATACACACTTCTCACATGAAGAAATATGAACAGCAAATAAATACATGGAAAATGTTCAATATCATTGGTCACTTGAGAGATGTAAATTAAAACAACACTTGGGTTCCATCTCACCCCAAAAGAATGGCTATTATCAAGAAATCAACCAGTGACAAGTGCTGGTGAGGCTGTTAGGGGAAAAGGGGCTATTCTTGAAGACAGGACATATGATAGGTCACAAAACAAGTTTGAACAAATGTAAAATGAAATTTTGATGGAGGGTGTTTTTTTTTTTTTTTTTTTCTGGTGGAACCAGGGATTAAACTCATGCCCTTGCACTT